TCCACAACTGTGGAAAATCTGGCATAAGGCCGTGGATTGTCGTGTGCCAAAGAATGATAAGAAGAAAAAGAATCAAGCTAACATGGTTGAAGATGAATTGGAGGACTTATGTGCCATGTTGTCTGAATGCAACTTGGTAGGAAATCCAAAAGAATGGTGGATAGATTCTGGAGCCACCCGCCATGTTTGTGCTAACAAGGAGTTATTTTCTTCTTATGCCCCCGCAGGACCCGACGAGACAATCTTCATGGGAAATTCATCTACGGCCAAAATTGAAGGAGTTGGCAAGATTGCNGCATTGAAGATGACGTCGGAAAAAATAGTGACTCTAGACCAAGTCCTCCATGTTCCAGAAATTCGCAAGAATCTTGTGTCTACCTCACTTCTTGTCAAGAATGGATTCAAATGTATTTTTATTTCTAATAGTGTTGTACTTAGTAAGAGCGATGCATATGTAGGAAAAGGTTACCTAAATGAGGGCCTTTTTAAGCTAAATGTAATAGCAGTTCCTATCAATAAAGTGAATGTTTCTTCTTACTTACTTGAGTCAAACACTTTATGACATTCATGTTTAGGTCACGTAAACTTCAAAACATTGCGGAAGATGATAAATATAGAAGTATTGCCAAAATTTGATTGCATTAATTTCAAATGTCAAATATGTGTGGAATCAAAGTATGCTAAGCATCATTATAAGTCCGTTGAAAGGAATTCAAGTCCTTTAGACTTAATTCATACAGATATTTGCGACATGAAGTCAACACCATCTCGCGGTGGGAAAAAGTATTTTATTACTTTTATTGACGATAGCACGAGACACTGCTATGTTTATTTACTTAATAGTAAAGATGAGGCAATTGATGCTTTCAAGCAATACAAGAGTGAAGTTGAAACGCAACTAAACAAAAAGATCAAAATGATAAGAAGTGATAGAGGTGGCGAATTTGAATCTCCTTTTGAAGAAATTTGTTTGGAAAATGGCATTATTCACCAAACAACTGCCCCTTACTCTCCACAATCTAATGGAATTGCGGAGAGAAAGAATCGTACGTTGAAAGAGATGATGAATGCGTTGTTGATAAGCTCTGGTTTACCATAGAACTTGTGGGGGGAAGCTATACTTACAGCTAACCGGATAATCAACCGTGTACCTCATAGTAAAACACAGTCCATTCCTTATGAAATGTGGAAAGGAAGGAAGCGTAGCTTGAAATACTTCAAAGTGTGGGGGTGTTTAGCTAAGGTACAAGTTCCTAAACCTAAAAGGGTTAAGATAGGTCCAAAAACAGTTGATTGTGTGTTTGTTGGATATGTAACCAATAGCAAGGCATATCGTTTTCTGGTTCATAAATCAGAAAATCCTGAGATTCACATTAATACGATAATAGAATCAGATAATGCTGAATTCTTTGAAACTATTTATCCGTATAAAAAGGAAAGTGAAGTGACCTGCCAAAAGTCAAAACGACCTCGGGAGGAAATAACAGATGGTATGCCTAATGAAGAAAATCCAAGAAGAAGTAAACGTCAAAGGATATCTACTTCATTCGGTCCAGATTTTCTGACTTTTCTGTTAGAAAATGAGCCTCGTACCTTCAAGGAAGCAATGTCTTCCTCAGAATCACAATTTTGGAAAGAACCTGTCAATTGTGAAATAGAATCCATATTGAGCAACCATACCTGGGAATTGGTTGATCTTCCTCCAGGTAACAAAACGTTGGGTTCTAAATGGATTTTCAAGAAAAAAAATGAAGGACGATGGTACTATTGACAAATACAAGGCAAGACTTATTGTCAAAAGATTTAGACAACGAGAAGGTCTTGACTATTTTGACACATACTCGCCGGTAACAAGAATTACATCCATTCGGATGCTAATAGCGTTAGCCGCCTTGTATGGTCTTCAAATCCATCAAATGGATGTAAAACAACATTCTTAAATGGTGATCTTGAGGAAGAAATTTACATAAACCAACCTGAAGGGTTTGTGGTTCCGGAAAAAGAAAAGAAGGTGTGTAGACTTGTCAAGTCCCTTTATGGACTAAAACAAGCACCTAAGCAATGGCATGCGAAATTTGACCAAACAATGTTGTCAAATGGTTTTAAGATTAAAGAATGTGATAAATGTGTTTACATTAAGAACGTTCCAAATTATATAGTCATTGTTTTCTTATATGTTGATGATATGCTAATAATGAGCAAAGATATTGCCGACATTCAAGCTACTAAACGTATGCTTGCTAGTAAGTTTGATATAAAAGACTTAGGAGTTGCCGATGTAATTCTAGGAATTAAAATCCAGAGGACTCCTCAAGGTCTAGCTTTGTCTCAATCACATTACGTGAAAATGGTACTTGAAAAATTCAAACACTTGGAATTTAGAAGTGCAAGAACTCAAAATGACTTAAACCATCATCTTATAAAGAATAAAGGTGAAAGTACGTCTCAATTGGAGTATGCTCGTGTGTTGGGAAGCTTAATGTACATCATGAACTGTACACGACCTGATATAGCTTGTGCAATAAGTAAACTTAGTCGATTCACAAGTAATCCCAACAAACATCACTGGGTGGCAATGAAACGAGTTCTGGGATATTTGGAATATACCCAAGACTACGCCTTGCACTACAATAAATATCCTGCGGTTATCGAAGGATATAGTGATGCAAATTGGATAACCGGCTCAACAGAAACAAAGTCCACAAGTGGATATGTTTTTACTGTTGGTGGAGGAGCAGTATCTTGGAAATCTTCCAAGCAGACGTGTATCACTCGTTCTACAATGGAATCAGAGTTTATAGCTTTGGATAAAGCCGGTGAAGAAGCTGAATGGCTTTGAAATTTCTTAGAAGACATTCCGTTCTGGCCAAAGCCTTTGGCTCCTATTTGCATACATTGTGATAGTGAGGCTTCCATAAGACGGGCAGAGAGCGTTATGTACAACGGAAAGTCTCGTCATATACGACGAAGACATAACACCGTTAGACAACTACTTTCTAGTGGAATTATCACTATTGATTATGTAAGATCAAAAGATAATGTGGCAGATCCGCTTACAAAAGGCTTAACTAGAGAGGGGGTTGAGAAATCATCTAAGGGAATGGGACTATGGTCGAGGACAAGTCAACATGGCGGTAACTCTACCTAGAATTTTGGATGTTCCGAGATCTAGTTTCAAGGAGCTCAAACAAAGTTGTGATTGACCGGTTCAACATTGTCAAAATAAAATCTTTGGTCCATTCTTGTGATGAAGACAATGTTCAGTAACAAGGATAGAACTTTACACGTTCTTTAATGATTACCAAAGTTTGATGAGGTATCTATCAAATAGTGTCAATCTAAAGGATTACACGTTTAGGAATCACCTACGTAAGTGTGAAGTGTAAGCCGTTTCAAGGAGAATTCTGTAAGGCCAATTATCTACGCACTTATGAGACCAGGCGGTGTTCTTGGCTAAAACGAACACAACAATGAGAACCAAAAGACGGTTAAGGGTTGGTTGTGTGACATAAGGTTGTCTAGGTATACACTAAAGTTCGACGGTTCAAAGATATCAAATCTACCGATTGACCAAGTATATCCGACATATGTTCACTACAGAAAGTTCAAAGGGAAACCTACTTATCCAGATGCAATTAATCCTTACTTGCAAAATCACATAGCTTTCATCTATGATCTTTTTTGATACAGCCATTCCCATTCATGTGGGGGATTGTTGGACTTTAAGCCATTGGGCTTTAAAGTAGAAGAAGTGTGAATCGGAAATGGAGAGAAATAAAATGGAGGGAAAATGAAAAATTTGAAGAAGTGAATTTTTGTCTTGCACTTTGTCCCTCATTGGTGAGGGACAACCACATTTGTGTGCTTATATATAGAATCACTTCTTAAAGCTCTTAAAAGGACTTGAAGAGAATGAACCCTCGCGCCGTCGTCGTCATCGCTCGCTTGGCTCGGCTTTGGCTTTGGCTTTGGATTTGTCAAATGATCGATAAGATTATTTTTTGGACAAAATTTATTTAATTATTTAATAATTAATTAAATGCCAAATTACTGCTGAAAATACGCCAGAATCCTGCTGAAGATTTAGAAGGTCTCTCTAGCCGCAGGCAGATTCAGAGAGCCTCTCTGACCGCGGTTCTGCCGCGGTCGCAGTAGAACCGCGGCAGGCAGCGTATTATTCTGAAAAGGCACCTTTTCCAAACACCTCTTCTGATAATTGCCTATAAATTCTGAGGCAAGGCTCCATTTACTAAATACGAAAAATACTCCAGAACTTATTTCTTTCTGAATACACTGCATCCTAATTCGCAATCTCTCTCTCTCAAATTCATAAGTGTAATTTTGCTCCGTTCTTTGAGTTCGTTGGTATCCTGCAGTTTGTATTGCCACTGTTGCAGGAAGGTTTATTCTGTTTTATCCTGGGAGGATTTAATCCATTACCTTGGCAACGTGTGAGGGGGTTAAAATTCCTTAAGGACGCACAAGAAAANCTCTTCTGATAATTGCCTATAAATTCTGAGGCAAGGCTCCATTTACTAAATACGAAAAATACTCCAGAACTTATTTCTTTCTGAATACACTGCATCCTAATTCGCAATCTCTCTCTCTCAAATTCATAAGTGTAATTTTGCTCCGTTCTTTGAGTTCGTTGGTATCCTGCAGTTTGTATTGCCACTGTTGCAGGAAGGTTTATTCTGTTTTATCCTGGGAGGATTTAATCCATTACCTTGGCAACGTGTGAGGGGGTTAAAATTCCTTAAGGGCGCACAAAAAAATTGTGGACTCGGAATATTTCTTATTGTTTACTGTTTTTTGTTCCAGTTTTTCCTTCTAACAGTTTATATTTTTATTTTCTTCCTAATTTTGTGTTTCCACACAGAAGCGAGTTACAATTTGAACCTAGACTTCGTGCCTACTCTTATGCCATGTTGAGATCTGTGTATATCTCATATAAAATATTAATCTGTAAAAGAGCATATTTTTAGTTACTTAATAATATTATGTCTCAACAGGTAATACCAGTTACTTTCTCGGAAAGCGAAGACTATGGATTTGCAGATATCAAAATAGGGTTTTACAAAGGTGATCATGGGGATGGAGAGCCATTTGATGGAGTTCTTGGTGTTTTAGCTCATGCATTTTCGCCGGAAACCGGGAGGTTCCACCTTGATGCGGCGGAGACATGGGCGGTGGACTTTGATAGAGAGAAATCAGATGAGGCTATTGATTTGGAATCAGTAGCTACACATGAAATTGGACATTTGTTAGGGCTGGCTCATACTTCAGTTCAAGAAGCAGTGATGTTCCCTAGTTTAAGACCAAGAGAAAAGAAGGTCGATTTGAAAATAGATGATATTAAGGGAATTCAAGCTCTTTACGGTTCAAATCCTAATTTTAACGATCAAGCTCTTTCAGAATCAGATACTTCTATAAGCAATGGAGTAGCTTTGAGCAAGAGACCATTTACATGGTCTAATTTTATTTTGTTCTTGATCTTGTCGATAGCTATGTAAATGTTTGCACAAATTAGGTTTAGTTTCTATATACATAAGTCTTTGGGTTATGGTCATGAAAAGAATTGACTCTTGACCTAACTTATTTCTCTCCTTTTTACTCCCTAGTGCATAATATTGATGTGCATTTGTAACAGAATTTGCAGTAGAGAAATCAGAGTATTCAAATAGGTAAGGGCTATAATAGTTTTGTTATATATGTGCAACTACTGCTCTCCTGAATTAAACTTTGACCAACTTTGCCCGTTGCCCCTTGCGTGCCAACTTGTTCGTAGATCAACTAGTTCGCTCCTTAATTTGATAGAATTCAAAGAGAATCTAAAATTTGATGGAACTAAAATTGATAGAGGAAATTATTTTCAGAATATTGGTAATTGTAACCATGATGATGTTGGATATATTCACAGCTCTTCTTTTAAGTTTATATTTCTATTTGTGACATACAAAAACTTACATATTAAGGGAACAAAAATCTTAACTTTCAATCATTCCTTTTTCGGGTTTAACTCACAAATCTTTAACATTTCAAAACTATTTTTTTTAAATGTATTTCATTTTCAAACACAACTTTAACTTAATTGCTACAGACTATTTTTAACTTAAATTTCAGTTACTCTTTTTTTCAACTTTAACTCAAGTATTATCTAAATCCCTACAAATGTTCTACCACCACCCTTTTCCAGAAAGGTGCAACAAAAGAATATAAAACAAAGGACACAAAGTTTTACGATGTACTTTTACAAGTCTGTTCATGAAACATAAGACTATTTATATCGAGTAAAAAAATATGATACCAACTTTGCTTTCTACTGCTTACCTCCTCCACCTTGCTTCCAATGTTCCCTTTTGTCTAACTGCGTAATGAAAGATTGGAAGGTTCGTAGTAGCTGTGATGACCATATAGGTCATCTAGAGTTTTAGAACCTAATTCCGTATTTCGAAGCCTCAAATACCTCATTTTAGCCTTTCTCCATTTGCGTGCGTAGTCCATGTGTTTTTCCGTAAAGTTTTTATGTTAAAAATTAATAAAATATAAAAATTTGCCTTAAAAATTCTTTTGAGTTGACTTCGGTCAACGTTTTGAGCAAACAGACCTGGATCCGTATTTTGACGGTCTCAGTAGGTTCGTATCATGATTTAGGACTTGGGCGTATGCCTAGAATAGAATTCGGAGGTTCTTAACTCGAGTTAACATGTTTTGTTTCAAAATTGAAGTTTAAAGGCTTAATGAATCTAAAAGTTCGACTAGTGTTTGACTTTGTTGATATTGGGTCTGTATTTTGGTTCCAGAGTCCGGTATAGGTCCATTACTATATTTATCACTTATCTGTCAAATATGGAGAGAAACAGAGTTTGTTTGACGTGATTCGGGCGTCCAATTGTTAATGTAGAAGTTCATGAATTTTCTTAAATTTTTTATTTGATTTGGTAGCCGATTTGTAGTTCTAGGTGTTATTTTGGAGATGTGATCACGCGAGTAAGCTCGTATGATATTTTTGGACTTGTGTGCATGTTTGGTTTGGAGGCCCGAGGGCTCGGGTGAGTTTCGGACATGCTATGGAGTGAGTCTTGGGCTTAGGTAAGTGCTGGTGTGCTTCAGTTCTGGTGCAGGCCTTAGACCTCGCAATTGCGAGGTCATGCTTCGCATTTGCAATCTCTATCAATGTAACGACCCGACCGGTTGTTTGAGAGTTATAGCCCCGATCCCCTATTAACTGCTTCTTTCATATCTTTTTCTGCTATTGTGACTTGCCGGGAGGTTTCGTTTTGGTTTTTGGAGTGATTTGAACACTTAGTCCCTAAGCAGAGGCTTAAGTATTAGGATTTGTACCGTAGTCAGAACTGTGTGAAGACGACTTCGGAATGGAGTTTCGTAGTTCTGTTAGCTCTGTTGGGTGAATTTAGGCTTAGGGACGTGTCCGGATTGTGTTTTGGAGGTCCGTAACTTATTTAGGCTTGAAATGACGAAAGTTGAAATTTTGGAGATTTAGACCGGTAGTGGAATTTTTGATATCAGAGTTAGATTCTAATTCCGGAAGTTGGAGTAGGTCCGTAAGATTGAATATGACTTGTCTGCAAAAATTTGGGATCAATCGGACGTGGCTTGGTAGGTTTCGACATCAGTTGTGGAAATTTAAAGTTTCAAGTTCTCTAAGTTTGAATTGGAGAGTGATTCGTGAATTTAGCGTTGTTTGATGTGATTTGAGGTCTCGACTAAGTTTGTATGGTGTTTTACGATTGGTTGGTATGTTTGGTTGAGGTCCCGAGGGTCTCGGGTGAGTTTCGGGTGCTTAACGGATCATTTTTGTACTTTGAGAGTTGGCAAAGTTTCTGGTGTTTTGTTGCAGCCCATTTCTTCATCGCGTTCGCGAGAGAGATCTTGCATTCGCATAAGTCATCTGATAGGCCAGCTGGTTTTGTTTTTTGCGTTCGCGAAGGTATGGAACATTAAGGCTATGCATTCGCGATAAGGACCTCGCGTTCACGTAGAGTCAACAGTCAGATGTGTTCCAGGCAAAATAGCCAACGTGTTCGCGATGTGTGTCCCGCGTTCGTGTAGGGTCAAGCAAGGTGAGCTTCGCGTTCGTGACCAGTGCATCGCGTTCGCGAGGAGTGTTTTAGGACGGAAGAAACTTTTGCTTCGCGAACGCAAGGCTTTGACCGCGTTCGCGAAGAAGGGATCACCTGGGCAGAATTTAAAGTTCAAAATCGAGGGTTTTGAGATCATATCACAAAATTGAATTGCGAGCCCTGTAGAAGGCAATTTTTGGAGAGATTCTTGCGTGGGGGTTTGGGTTAAGCGATTCTTACCTAGTTTTGGTTAATTCTCATGATTATGTCTTTAATTTCATCATTAAATTAGTGATTTGGGGAGTGACAAAAGTTCTTAGGCCAAATTTTGGGGTATTGATCGAGATTTTGGTATCGGATTTGAGTAAATTTGGTATGGTTAGACTCGTGAGTGACTGGGTGTTCATATTTGGTGACTTTTACCCAATTCCGAGATGTGGGCCCGGGGAGGCTTTTTGAGCGATTTTCCAATTTCTTGCTTTAGCTTTGATTTTTTTAGCTAGATTAGTTTCTTGTAGTTATATTTATGTTATATAACTGGTTTTGGCTAGATTTGGGCCATTCGGAGTCGAATATTCGTGGAAAGAGCATTGTTATGGTTTGATTTGAGCTTGGTTTGAGGTAAGTGGCTTGCCTAACATTGTGTNGTAGTTTAGAATAAGATGCCTACGTGTCTTAACTGTCTATCTGAACTCTCTGCAGCATGTTTAGTGAGATTCCTGCTTTTCCTTGAATTGAACTTAGCCTCAATTGTAGGTTTTCATGCTGAAACTGTTACTTTTGTTGGTTATACTGCATACTTACTTTGGGACTACGGAACGGTATTCTAGGATCCCCTGCACTGTATATTTACTTTGGGACTACGGAACGGTATTCTAGGATCCCCTGCACTGTATATTTACTTTGGGACTACGAAATGGTATTTCGGGAGATCCCCCTATTCAGCATATTTACTTTGGGACTACAGAACGGTATTCTGGGAGATCCCCTTGCATATTTACGTTTGGGACTATGAGATGGTATCTTGGGAGATCCCCTATTGTTATCTATGTGTACTAAGCTGTTGACTTCTATGATTTCGTTCCTGTATAATTTTAATTCTTTATATTACTGCAGTATTTCATTTTATTTTGTTTTATTATATATATACCAGTAGGGCCTTGAACTGGCCTCGTCACTACTCAACTGAGGTTAGACTTGGCACGTAATGGGTACCGTTGTGGTGTACTCATACCCTTTCCTACACATATTTTTCATGTACAGATCCAGGTACCGCTTATCAGCCGCATTATCAGTGAGGCGAGATAGTTGTAGAGACTTCAAGGTATATTTTCCGCTTCCGCAGACCTCAGAGTCCCTATCTAATCTTCCCCATGTCGAACATTTCTTGTATTTCCTTTTGTTAGACTCTGGAGTATAGAAATACTATTTTCTTTTTGTAGTTTCTGACTAACGACATTCCGGGTTTTGGGGAGAGTTTATGTACATTTTGAGAGTGACTATTGTATATGCTGAGCGACATCTTCACTTCTTATTTAAATTTACATGTTAGTTGTTAGCTTTTATGTTTCCATTTCATTTCTGCAAATGTTAGGCTTACCTAGTCGTAGGGACTAGGTGCTGCCACAATGGTTCACGGAGGGAGAACTTGGGTCGTGACAAGTTGGTATCAGAGCTCTAGGTTCATAGGAGTCATGAGTCACAAGCCGGTTTAATAGAATCTCGCGGATCGGTACAGAGGCGTTTGTACTTATCTTCGGGAGGCTATGGAACTGTTAGGAAAATTTCACTTCATTTGATTCCTAGTCGTACGAAATTATTGACTTCGAAATTCTAAACCTCTGTCTTCTATTCTCTCACAAATGGTGAGGACACGTGCAGCCGAAGATGACTAGGCACCCGCGCCCCTACTAGAGCCACTAGAGGCCGGGGCCGGGGCCAGGGCTGGGGTAGATGCCAAGGATGCCTACGTGGTGCAGCCAGAGCACCCAAGCGAGCTGCTACAGAGGATCCACCAGCAGCTCAAGTCGAAGCATAGACACCCGAGACGCCTCCTCCTCCTCCTACTACTACTACACCAGCTCTTCAGGAGACCCTTGCATAGTTTCTGAGCATGTTCGGTACTCTAGCTCAGTTAGGGTTGATTCCCCTTGCTCTAGCCACGTCTCAGGCTGGGGGAGGATCACAAACTGCCGCCGCCCACCCTCCAGAGCAGTGGGTCCAGATTGATCAAATTCCAGAGGTTATACCAGTACCACCTGTTGCCTTAGTTCAGCCCGAGGGTAGGGCAACAATCTCAGAGGATGAGTAATGTAAGCTCGAGAGGTACTAGAATTAGCACCCTCCTATCTTCATTGGTTTGGCGACATAGGATGCTCAAGGTTTTCTAGAGGGGTTCCACCGTATCCTCCGTACTATGGGCATAGAAGAGTCGAGTGTGGCTTCTTTCACTACATTTCAGCTTCGAGGAGCAGCTTGTTAATGGTGGCGTGCTTATGAGTTGGGAAGTCCGGCTAAGGCAGCTTCCCCTACAAGGACTTAGTTCTCGGACATGTTTTTGAGAGAGTACGTCCCTTAGAGCCCAAGGGACACATGGCGCGCGGAGTTTGAGCAGTTGCGCCAGGGT